CGGGGAAAAGAATGAAGATCTGATGGAGAGGGCGTGGAATCAGGCGTCAGGAAACCTGGTATGGCCGATGCTAACCCGATCCAATTACCAAGAGTGGTCGGCTCATGTGCAATGCAATCTCGAAGCTATGTACTTGTGGGACGCAGTTGAATCTGACAAGGTCGAGCGACGTTGAGATCGGCTCGCTCTGGGCGCCATGATCCGTGGTGTCCCTCCTGAGATGCACTCAATGTTGCTGAACAAGAAGTCAGCCAAGGAGGCCTGGGAGGCGATCAAGTCGATGCGTCTGGGTGCAGATAGGGTGAAAGAGGTGAATGCACAGAAACTGCTAGCAGAGTTTGAAGCAATCTCGTTCAAATTGGGTGAGACAATTGAAGACTTTGCAGTGAGAATTGGTAAAATTGCAACCGATCTCAAAGGCCTAGGGGAGACGAGTGTTGATGATGCTCGTGTCGTGAGGAAATTCCTCAGAGTTGTGCCACCATGTTATAATCAAGTTGCAGTCACGATTGAGATGTTTTGTGATCTCAAGACCTTGTCGGTGGAAGAATTAGTCGGTCGTTTGCGTGCAGTAGAAGATCGGTTTGAGCCCGTCGTGGAGGAAGTGACCAACAAGCAAGGGCAACTCATGATGACGGAGGAAGATTGGGTGGCGAAGCACAAGGCTCGGATGGTGACAGATTCGTCATCATTAGGAGGCAAGGGTGGCGGTAATGGCCAGTATGCCAAGAAGAACAAGTTCGGGGGGCAAGGAGGCAACAACGGTGGAAACCATGACTCTCGTGACTCTGGTGGCAAGGAAGGCACGTCCTCGGGCATGCCACGACGCAAGGGACATTGCAACAAGTGTAAAGTTTTATGGCCATTGGGCCAGAGAATGCAAGAAGGCAGACAAGGAGGTGACAGAGGCAGTCCATCATGCCAATGCCGATGCTGATGCACAACCAACACTTCTTGTCGCACAGGTTTGTAACCTGGTGTGAACCACCAATCTGACGAGATCCCGACAGATTATGAGGAAGGGTTGTGGGTGCTGGACACTGGAGCGACAAACCATATGACGGGATGTAGGGCTGCACTAGCCAGCCTTGACGAGACGGTTAAGGGAGCAGTCAGATTTGGTGATGGGTCCAAGGTCGAAATCTGTGGGATCGGGGCGGTGACGATCGCCGGCAGAAACCAGGATCACCGCGTGCTCTCTGAGGTGTATTATATCCCGTCCTTGAAGTGTAATATTGTTAGTCTCGGTCAGCTGGAGGAAGGAGGGTGCCGTGTCGAGATCAAACATGGCATCATGAAGGTGTTCGAGCGCCCTCAGCAAGGGATCCAAGACCGAGGTGTGTTGATCAAGGCAGAACACAAGAATCGGCTCTACATCATGAAGGTGAAGCTGACGACACCTGTATGCTTGGTGTCAAAGATGAACGACGTCGCGTGGCTCTGGCACGCTCTGTATGGACACTTGAATTTCAGGTCTCTACGCGAGCTCGGTGCTAGGGAGATGATTGTGGGCATGCCGGTAATACGGCGTGTCGAGCAAGTCTGTGATGGATGCGCGTTGGGCAAGCAGCATCGCACGCCCTTCCCCAAGGCTTTGGCGTATCGCGCATCCGAGGTGCTCGAGTTGGTGCATGCTGATCTGTGTGGGCATGTCACCCCGCCCACACCAGGAGGGAAATCATTTTTCCTCCTCATCGTCGACGATCATAGCCGCTATATGTGGCTAGAACTGATGGCCACCAAAGATGAAGCACTGCTATATTTCAAAAGGTTCAAGACGGTGGTGGAGTTGGAATCAGGGAGCAAGCTCAGAGCATTCCGTTCAGATCGTGGAGGAGAATTTAATTCCGACGCGTTTGTGACCTTTTGCCAGGATCATGGGATCAAGCACAATACGACCACATCGTATACTCCGCAGCAGAATGGAGTAGTGGAGCGATGTAATCAGACTGTAGTCGAGATGGCACGGTGTTTGCTGAAAAGCATGAGCGTTCCAGCTCAGTTTTGGGGAGAAGCAGTTCGGGTGGCAGTCTATTTGTTAAATCGATCGCCCACGAAGAGCCTAAGTGGCAAGACACCGTATGAAGTTTGGTATGGCAAGAAACCAGGAGTCAAGCATCTTCGCACATTTGGCTGTGTAGCTTATGTGAAGCGAGTCGGCCCTAGGATCAGCAAACTTTCTGATAGGTCAATGCCAGGGGTGTTCCTCGGTTATGAAATGGGGACAAAGGGCTATCGAGTGTATGATCTGGTGAAGGATAAGTTGATGGTGAGTCGTGACATAATCTTCAATGAGCAGACGGCCTGGAATTGGGAGGGAAAGGAAAGCAGGACGCAGGAGCAGACGGTGGCGCCTGAAACCTTTTCAGTTCAGTACTTTGACAGTACTGTTCCCAGTCCGATAGTAGGACCTGAAGCAGATGACAGGGTATTTTCAGAAAACAGTCAGGGGGAACCAGCCTCGCCTGCTGCCTCAATTCCATCGGGGGGTGGTGTCACACCTCCACACACGCCACCACATCAGCAGATACAATGGGCAACTCCTCCCACGCATGACAGTGATTTCTCTGATGGGGTACCACTTCGGTATAGGACTATTCCCAATCTGTTAGATACAACAGATGAGGTGCAGGGGTTCGAGTACAGTGGGCTCTGTCTGGTTGCTGCTGAAGAGCCAAGGACAATAGAGGATGCTATGTCAGAAGAGTGTTGGTGGAAGGCAATGGAGTTGGAGATGACGGCAATTGAAGACAACAGAACCTGGGTTGTCAGTGATCTCCCTCCTAAACAAAAAGCAATTGGCTTAAAGTGGGTTTTCAAAGTCAAGAAGGACCCAGATGGAAACATTGTCAAGCACAAAGCACGATTGGTTGCAAAAGGTTATGCTCAGCGTCAGAGAGTGGACTTCGATGAAGTGTTTGCTCTAGTTGCTAGAATTGAAACTGTAAGAGTGTTGTTGGCACTTGCAGCTCATGGTGGTTGGGAAGTTCATCATATGGACGTGAAATCTGCTTTTCTCAACAGTGATCTGACTGAAACTGTCTATGTGCAACAACCTCTAGGTTTTGTTGTTGGCAAAGGTGACAAGGTTCTCAAGCTGAAAAAGGCCTTGTATGGTCTTAGGCAAGGACCTCGAGCATGGAACTCAAAGCTTGACAAGGAGCTTATTGCTCTCGGCTTTGTTAAGAGCAAGTTGGATAATGCTGTTTATAGGAGGAGCGGCATGAACTCTTTCCTTCTTGTGGGAGTTTATGTGGATGATTTGATTATCTCAGGTCCTAGTGTTGATGAGATCAGAAAGTTCAAATCAGAGATGATGAAGAAATTTAGGATGAGCGATTTGGGGCTTCTCAGCTATTACTTAGGGATCGAAGTAAAGCAAGGAGAGGGACATATTACTCTAAGTCAAGGTGCATATGCTCTCAAGATACTTGAAGGGGCAGGAATGAAGAACTGTAACTCCTATGACACACCTATGGAGTGCAGGCTCAAGCTCAGCAAGAAGAAGGAAGGGGATGCAGTGGATCCAACAGCATACCGTAGCATAATTGGTAGCCTCAGATACATTGTTAATACTCGACCAAACTTAGCATATGCTGTCAGAGTGGTGAGTAGGTACATGGAGGCACCAGGAAAGGAACACTGGGCAGCTGCGAAGCATATTCTGAGATACTTGAAGGGTACAACAGGATATGGCTACAGATATGAGAAGGGAGCAGAGCTGAAACCAATGCTACTTGGATTCAGCGACAGTGACTTTGCAGGAGATGTTGAGGACAGGAAAAGCACTACAGGTGTTGTTTATTTCCTCGGCAATAGCTTGGTCACATGGTCATCACAAAAACAGAAGACTGTGGCGCTCTCATCTTGCGAAGCTGAGTACATGGCAGCGGCAGCAGCAGCTTGTCAGGGTGTTTGGTTGAGCCGGCTAATCACAGCTATGATGGGAACAAAAGAGGCACCAGTGAAGCTACTCATGGATAACATGTCCGCAATAGCGCTAAGCAGGAATCTAGTACATCACGATCGAAGTAAGCATATCGATACAAAATTTCACTTCATTCGTGAGTGTATTGAGGAGGGCAAGGTGGAGGTTGATCATGTTGGGACTGCCGGGCAGCTCGCCGACATATTCACCAAGTCGCTAGGGCATGTGAGATTTGTGGAACTCAGGAGTGCTCTCGGAGTGGTACAGGTGCAACAGATTTGAGGGGTGATTTGTTAGCCAAACTGTCGCACAAGATATGATGTAATCTTTTGTTTCTTAGTTAGTTAAGATATGCATTAGCTAGGATAGTGGGTGGATCTGATTCTTAGGTGTACAAGATCAGATCAGGCCCAGAGTCCATGGTCGACCCGCGTCATGCCGTCCATGGCGTACACGGCGTGCACCGCTGAGCAACGGCGCGGCGCACTTTGTTCGGATGATGCGGGGTGGGTCGTATGTACCCAGGTTTGTATTTAGACACTATATATACATGAATATAGAGACCAGGCAAGCTGCATTGCGGGAAGCAACATAATACTTTGTCTTCTCGCGAGTTCATACGATCTGCTCTAGTTCTTGATCTTGCTACGGTCACCGCGTCGTCATCGGCGTTCACGTTCAGGTCTGGGAACAAGAGCCCATGATCAGAAAAGCTAAACCCGATAAAAAATCTCGAGCATCACATATATGGCGGGGGCACCCCGATGTGTGACTAAGGGGGAGATTGTTGGGGTTTAGTCCCACATCGTGTAGCGATGGTGGGGAGCACAACATATAAGGCGGGAGAACCCTCACCTATCAGGCTAGTCTTTTGGGTTAAGTAAGGCCCAAGTCCTTATATGTTGTAGCTCCGGTGGACCTAGGTCCTGTGGGAGCGTAGGCTCATGGTAACGAGCCGAGCCGGCTGCAAGCCAGCTCCAAGATCGTGAACTCGGTGGTCATCGCCGGTTCCAACAACCAACCCCAAGGCCGGCACCAGCACGCGTAGATCGAGGACCTTGCCGAGCTCCCCTCAGACGATGCTGGGAATGGCGTAGTCCACCACGCTCAAGGGGCTCGCGCTGATAAACTCCTCCGAGATGGTATGCTTCCCTGTCAACACCTCCAGCATCACCACGCCGAAGTTGTACACGTCGCTCTTCACGGTGAGGTGGTGTAGGCTGTAGTACTCGGGGTCCATGTACCCAACCGTTCCAGCGACGGTCTGGTGCTCCCGGGTCCGCGCTTGCCACTCCGTGAGCGACAACAGCGCGAAACTAGACAAGCGCGCTCTCTAGCTTGCATCCAGCAGGATGTTGGATGACTTGACGTCGCCGTGGATGATGGGTAGCACAGCTAATGAGTGCATGTGCACAGCGGCGGATCTAGAAAATATTTCAGGGGGCTGAACAACACTGTTGTTCGATCTTAAGTCTCAGCCCCCTCTACACTATAGAACTTTGCTTAAAATTTCATGGGGGCTCCACTGCTATGATATGGGTAGGGGGGCTTGAGGCCCCCTGCCCCACCGCTGTATCCGCCCCTGCATGTGCATGTACTCAACGCCGCGAGACACGTCCAGTAGGATCCTCATCCGCAACTTCCACGACGACATCACCAGGGACGGCGGCGACGAAGGTGCTGCCTTGAGGCGGAGGTGATCGTAAAGAGCGCCGTTCCTCATGTACTCGCTGACGAGCAGGCGCTCATCATTTTCCATGCAGTAGCCGACGAGGTTGATGAGGTGTTTGTGGCGGAGGCGGGACAGGAAGGCCACCTTCGATAAGAACTCGCTCTCCTAGAACCGTAGGTCATCGCGCGGTCCTGACTCCTCACGCTTGATGGCCACCTCGCGCCCGTCGGGAAGATAACCACGGTACACAGTGCCAAAGCTGCCCGATCCGATCTTAGACTCCAGTGTGAAGCCCTTGGTCGCTGCCTCCATTTGCGCAAAGGTGAACTCCTCGGTAGAGTCCTTGCACAGCAATCGCCACAGCTTCACTTCAGTGCCAGAGTAACTGGTGCCGAGCTTACATGTCTCGCCGCCAGAGCATTTGGCACCGAGCTTCCTCGGCCATGTCGGCGTCGACGCAGGCGTGGCGGTTGTGTGGCAGCCACCTCGGCATTGGGATTATTGACGCTGAGCTTGGCGCCAAGATCTATGACACCAAGGTGGTCTTTTAACCCAGAGCCCAACCTTCCTGGTCGAGGCTTCTTCCTCTTCTTTCTCCTCCCTCTCGGGTTTTTGCTCTCCCCACTTCGCCCTACCACACGAATCGGCATATTAGACCTTGAAAACTTTGATTTGATCCATAGGTATTCTCGCTCCCCTCCTAGTTTTTTTGCATCAATTCGGTATATATTAGTCGGATTTTTCAACCTAAGAATCGTCATTACTTAGGGTTTCATGTAATTTTTAATATTTGTTTTATTCAACCATGGGATGCCAAGGTGTGAAAAAGCTAGCAAACCAAGGTAACCTCAGCGCATGTTATTATATTATGGGTTCATTGTTGTGGATCAAATGGGAAACCCTAGGTTTAGGGTTTAATGTTAATTACTTTGGGTTCTTAAAACAAAATTGGTTAAATTATAGTTATGGCCGGATGACCGAAAATACCTTCGACCCATTGCCTTTGCCTAGTGGTGTTTCAGTGTCCATGTGTTTTTGCGGCGATCCTTGCATGGTAGCCAAGTCCGATGAAGAGGACACATATAGGTAGATGTATTGGATGTGTTCGAATTTTACGTTCAAGCCTACACTTCGTCAGTGCCGCATTAATGAGATTGTAAGAAATTGATGTTGTGTAATAATTATTTTGTGTCATATGAAATCTTGCATGATTTTTTTGTTTTGTAACAATTGCATTTGTTGTAGACCTCTCCACCGCTCTGTGATTTTGAGCAGTGGATCGACATGAGATCAAGCCTGAAGACAAGGAATGGATGCATAAATTATTACGGTGAGAGGTAGAGGACAAGGAGATGATGGAGAAGAGACGCGTAGAGGAGGCTATAGAAAAGGAGCATAAGAAAGAGGAGGAAAGGAGGCGTGATGCTGCTTATAGGGAGGAGAGGGGGAAGAAGTTTGAGCGTGCACGCCGAGCGAAAGCAGCGATGGAGGAGAATCCCGATGCCCTGAGGAAGGGAAATGGTCTTGTTGCACTCAGTAGTCTCCATGACTTGCTAGTTCTATGATTTATTTATGAACAATGTTGTCTACTGTTGAACTTTTTATTGTGCTGTCATGTAATGCACTTTAAATGTGGGCATACTTAGGTCATATACTGTATTATTTAGTTTGTCGGCATGTACTTCTAATATTATTGTGTTGTTTAATGTGTCATAGTATTGGACTTTTCATTGTGTTGTTGTTTTCATTATCTGTGATCATAATATTTAGTTTAATATTGCGGACGTAGTGAAATGAGATCACGTACTATAAATAAAACCTAATAAAGTAGGGCATTATATAATTCAACACGCACAACACATGAAATGGCATGTGAGAATATGTATCAAACTAGGGTACAGAGGTCCTGAACTAAACCTAACATGCCTTAGGTAATTGAAGCGAACAACAAGCACACGAAATGGCATGTGAGAACATATACCAAACAAGGGTATATAGTTCCTTCGACTAAACCTAACATGCCTTAGATAATTAAATGGTCCTGAACTAAACCTAACATGCCTTAGGTAATTGAAGCGAACAACAAGCACATGAAATGGCATGTGAGAACATATACCAAACAAGGGTATATAGTTCCTTCGACTAAACCTAACATGCCTTAGGTAATTAAATCAAACAACAAACACATGAATGTGCCATGTGAATAAGATAGGGTCGTCCTAGTTGTGTGGCCACATAGCAAATTGTGTTGCACCTTCTCCATAGTAGCCTCCCATTATTATTGTTGGTGGTGGCGGGAGGGATGGCGAAGGCCCCTTGTTCTTATGATTAGGGCATTTACAGTATGGTTCATTGCAAAGTGCCTCCTGTAAACCTGCACCATTGTTGTTGTCGTCGTCTTCGTCTTCCTTGTAACTGCTGCTAACTTCCCTTTGTAGATCGAAGATACGGTCCTGTAGGTAGTAGATGTACTGCTGATGCGGATAAATTGGCTGAGGATCGACCCACCTAGTGAACCCAAGTTTTCTTCGAACTCGGAAAACTACAATAAGTATGTCCTGTGAGTTGTAAGGGTATTTGAGAAACATATTTAAGAAACGAAATGTAATAGCAATTACCCTTGCTCGCGGGCATTTGAAGAAGCAACGACCTCCATCGATCCACTCGGAGGACTCAATGTCGGCATAGTCATCTTCTGTTCATTGTAGCCTCAGCCTACAACGTGTCGCACCTTGGTGCCAAGCTTGGTGGCACCTGTAGTCATGGTTCGCGTGCGGCTCATCGTTCTCGTCCATGTTGGCGCCCAACAGCTCCCACTGTTCAATGTAGTAGTGGTGGTGCTTCTCCCAATCAAAAATCTTCCTGTTCTTTTGACGATCCAACCTGCACGTCATGTACGCCATTGTTAGTGAAGTTTTTGGACGAAGTAATACAAATTTATGCAGAAAATGTCGACAGAGTTTCCTTAGTTTTTTGATGCAAACCAAACAAAAATATGACACGAATATATGCATTCCATACAAGCACATTCATCTCAATCCATATACATGTGACCATATTAAAAGTGCACGTACATCATCATTACTTCATTTTATATAGGAACTAATGGAAATGTACTATAATGGGACAATTGAAATAGCAGAACTCTTACTTGTGTAAGTCAACATCAGTCGAGAATGGAGCCATTGGCTAAAGCTGTCTCACTCCAAATTGACGTGCAACTCTATCTATCAGGTGGAACTCGACAGCATAGAAGCAGATTAGAGGGCACCTCATCCTATAGAAGTCGTAGTTGCACCCACACATGTTGCTCAACCGAAAAGGAAGTGCCCTCTCTCCATTGTACGGCTCCCACGACACCTGCAACATGTCAAAACAAGATGTTAGATGCTATACTAAAGCATTTCAAACCAGCATGGGAAATAAAATTTACTTACACTAGAGGTCGTGAGCGTGTCTAGCTCGTTTGTGAACTCAACGTACGCCCGCTCTAACCTCACGTGCAAAACTCTAACCTGGTGATCTCATGAGGAGGATCTGCCACAACATCATGAGTCCGACAAGCATCTCCAACTAGCTCATTGGGGGTAGATTGAGCATCGAGAACCATAGGTGCAACCTCCATATCCATATCAGGTTCTGGGACAGGAGGGTCATAGTGTGCCTGCTGACCCATTGGTGGGAAAACCCATGAGGGACAGGATCAACTAACACTTGACGCACAACCACATCCAAACTTTGGAACTGGCTCTTCATAGCCTATCTCGCATAGTTCTCCCACTGATCCACACACCCAATTGAGATCATCTTCCTTAGGATGTTGGGAGGGGAACCATGGTGAAGTACACCTGAAAGGACCTAGGATGCCGCCTAGAGGGGGTGAATATGTGTTTCTGAAAATTAACACATTTAAATGCAGAAATGATTTAGTAATGGGAGTTTCTGAGTGGAAACTCCAAATCAAAGTAATACAACCTCTCACAAGTTAGCCAATGAGTAAATAAACAATATTAAATAATCCTAGGAGCCTAGAACCTGCAACACAACGGTTAGAACATGGATCAAATAAATTCAGCACTGAGCTCTAATACCGGACGTGTCCGATATACATGTGTTCTGCAGAACAGCCCCAAACTTGCTCCTTTTGATTTTAATCTTCAAACCAACATGTAGGCACCCACTAAAGATAGTGCCACATAGGTAACCTGCACAAGAGCTAGAGCAACACAAATATCAAATGAAATGCGAATTGAGACACGATATTTGTTTTACCGAAGTTCAGACTCCGTTGAGTCCTACTCTCCGTTGAGGGGGCTATGGGTGACCCAGCGAAGGTCAGCCCTAGAGGTTACCACGAAGGTCACTCTAGCCGGAGTCTTTTTCAACTCCTTTTCCTCCTTCCACTAGTTGATTTGTTCCCTTGCGGTGGTGGAATCGACCGTTATAAACTTTCCGAGGCACACCACAATCTCTCGGGTGCTCTCCTGTAACGCCTAGCCGTCTAGGACCGAAGAGTCCAAGTGTAACAAATGCAAATCACGAGATTGACAATATGCACAAGTGCTCAAGTGGTTGGATTGCTCTCTTTTTCGAATTCTCTCTTAACCCGCAAATGGATTTGGCAATTGGGATGAATCACTCACTAAGAGAGGGTTGGAGAGTGTTTGCAAGGCTAAAAAACATGTATGTTTATCAGCAGAATCAGCAGCCTCCAAAGGTGGAGGCTTGGGGGTATTTATAGTCCCTTTGAAAAACTAGCCATTTTCTAGCCATTGCCATACCGGACACGTGTGCATACCGGACACATCTGGTATGACTTGCACTGCGCCAATGGTCACTGGGTTAAAGTATGCAAGGTGTCAGAACTCTCGATGCTTTTTGGGACTTTCGACAGCCGGAACTCCCGACCAACTCAAGTCAGAACTCCCGATCCTTAGCTCATTTGAAAACTAGTCGTTGGGCTCTGGTCGGCCACACGTCCGGTTTGGCCAGGACAGTGAAGCGTGAGACATCGGAACTCCCAACGATTGCCGAAACTTCCGATGAACCAACCCGAGAACACCAAGAATTTTACCGTGGCTGGGCAAATACCGGACACGTCCGGTATCAATGCCAGACCAGCAAAAACAAGTTAGGTCTTTTGTCTCTCAAACACTCAAAACTCACATGGGTTGGCTTGAGCACTTATGAATGATCATCTATCAACATGATGCATCCCTCTTAATAGTACGGTATTCCTATTAACTCAAATTGAAATGTATAACGAATTTAAACCTTTTGAGTTGATCTCCTTCAACCGAAGCCGTGTATTC